CCCACATAAATACTTTAGACTTATACTACATATAGATCTTTATTCGTATTGCTAGTTTTATTAATTATTTTATTAAGTTTTTGTAGTTGCAGAAACTGTAGAAACATAGAAATATCGATTTGTTTTTGCTGTTCTGTGAAATGAAAGGTTGAAGTGCCTTTCAGACATACATATGTAAATAAAACAAAAAGTCAAAATAAAATAAAATTAAGACTGCGCTGCGCCTTGACGGACTATACATTCCGTTCTATACTTGTCCAAATACTTTGTCTTATTCTACATTCTCCATAGAGCTAAGAATAACCTTAAGGGGTAGTAAGTGTATGCTCTCAACCCTTTTTCTTGAAACGGTCTTACACTTAAAGCGTACGGACAATGCCTTTTAGTGCAATGTCCTGTGAAGATGTCTGTGGTAAATCAAAATCGCTCGCTTATTCCTGCTATACCTTTCCTGAACTTCTATCTGTTCGCGTTTAGGCCGACTCCATGGCTTGGCATTAGACCCTTTTTGGCGCTTAGCGCGCAACCTTTCTGGCTAAGCCATCGGCTACTTCGTTCCCCCCTATTAGCTTGGGACCAGATTGCCAAAGTAGTCTGCACAATTCTGATTAGTAAGGGCATTCAGTTTCTCAATACACTCCTAAACCAGAGAGCATGTTAAACCGACGGGTAAGAGAACCTTGATTTTTGAGTAAATTACAGAGACTAAAGTGTAACATTCCGCTTGAAAAGTACACAGATGCCATATCCTGAGGCTACAGATACCGGCCCCTATGCCTTCTGCGTTCAATTGGGGAAAGCTCGCTTAGACATGAGCTTTCATAATTGCGGTACTCCAGTTTGTTTTGATGCAGAGTTTTCGTTTTAATTCCTTCTCGCAAGCGAGAACTAGGTTCCTAGCTTTCCCATCTGTTAAGATGATAATATCTTTCGTTTTCTAAAGCCCTGTCTTTCGAAATTCAAGACATTATGCTTGGTTTTCGGTTATATGATGAGATGTAGGGCCTGTTCGAGACACGTAATAAAAGCGGCATTAATGCTTCACTGATGAAAATTTGCAACACTGTTGCAACTTCCCCACTGACAATTCGTTGTTTGAAATTCACACCGAAGGTGTCACTTTAATAATTCACGCAACACTGCGGTTGTGATTGCAACTGTCTCCCCATGGCTAAAGTAGTTGTCTAAAACCAAAGCAAAGCCCAGTACGCCCCTCTTTGCCCTACTGGCGTACATTCATTTCAACAGCTTTGGATATACGCTTGCACAATATTAGTGCCTTTGTAGCTCTGGATGCAGCCCCGCCAACATCAGTCCTATCGGCGACTGACGGCATCTGTTACAAGAAAATTCGGACTGACTATTATTTTTGTAATTACAGTAATATTCGGGTGCAGAAAATTTCAGATTTTATAAAATGTTTTATACGATGCTGAGATATTGTACAAAATTCAATGCGTGACTGACGCGCTCGATTGCGGGCTTGGCATTAGACCCTTTTTGGCGCAATGTTTTGAGTTTATGTACAAAATTAAAGCCACGTCCCACAGTGGTTCGGATAGCAGATCTGGTTGGACGAAAGTCAAAACTTTTTTGTTTTTAAAATACTTAATGGTACTTGGAATACATTCCTGACAATACATTCAAATAGAAATTGCATTTATTAAAGCATTAACATATGAAAAATAAAAAAAGGCAATACAACGCCGCCTATTTGAGAACTCTATTTTAAAAGCTGAAATTTAACTTAAAAGATTGCTAATTGCACTCACAAATATTTGCATAATTGCAAATTGACTTTATAAACAAAAAATTACACTTATTCCGCTATAGATTCAGAGGTCATAACGCAATTTATGTCCACATTGGTATAAGCAAATTTATTTTGAAAAATCGTCGTTTTGATTAATTAAAAAAATAAATTAAAGAGTAGGAAAAGTAAAGGCCGCCGAAGGCCGTTATAAAACCACTTGCATATTATTCTTTACACCTTCGCAAATGCAGAGGGTAAATTCGATAACCAAGTCTAACCAATTGGCTTAGATATTTACTTTTTAGTGACGGTATGTCAAATCTCAAAATTCAAAAGTAATTATTAACAGGAATGTATCTGAATATAAATATAAGATCAGTGATTTTTTAAATATTTCGCTTGCCATGTTGGCGTTTTGAATTTTTTGTAAATGACTTTAGATTCGTAATCAGCAACCCAGAAAACCCCCAGATACCCAGTTTCATAGAAATCTACCGATTTTTTTTTAATTTTCGTCCGCCATATTGGATCCGCCATTTTGAATTTTTGATAAGTGACTTCAGATTTGTAATCAGCGCCCCGAAAATCCCCTGGGTAAGAAGTGGTTTAAAGATCCATCAACGAGTACTTGTTTAAATAGTTTCGTCCAGCTAGATTTGCGATCCGAACCACTGTGCGTCCGCGCCAGAAGCCAGAAGAATTAAACTGACTGACGGCAGGATATTTCTCTACACCTTAAATGTGACATAATATAAAAAAATCAGCTTTTATAAAATGCTTTCAATTCCTTGTCGCTCGCCTCCCCGACTAATTGAACTAAATCAAGAAAATAAATAAAAATCGATGGTCACAAATTAAGTGTAATATATAAACCCGAAATAAAATATTACAGCGAAACTCCAACTCACAGTTTTCTCTTCATATCTCACTTTAAATCAAAGGCTTTAATATGTTATTTTATATTTAAATTTAATATGTATATAACTACTTAGCATCGACATATTTATTTATTCGCTTGTTCGAAGCTTCCTAGCCTACATACAGTCATAGTATTATTTAAAGAGCTGCGTTACTTAATATGGTATTTTTTTTTTGTTTCTAGTTTAATCTTCTCACCATTCTGCCATTGCTATCGTGGTTAATTAATTTTATCACTTCCCACTACAGCGTTACACGCCCATTTGCTGCTGCTGTGGTACTCCTAAAAGCAGCGCAAATTCAAATCCACACATCTATATATGTTTATGTCCACAATGCACATATGCACATTAGACTGGGTTGGTTGCCATAAAAAATAAAATAACCGAAAACTTTGCCTAGTTTGAACACTTAATTTGTGAGGAGCTTGCGGTCATAAAGCATTGGCGAGTCCTAAAACAACCAAAAATTTAAGCCCGTCCTAACTTTTTTAGTTAAGACTCGATTTAACCCTCAATTAGGCGCAAAGTCATCTCAAGTTGAAAAAGTGCTGAGTTGAGTGCTTGGAACGCTCTTCACATCTTCCTAACTCCGTGCGGCGTACGTAAATTTGTCACGGCCACAACGTCGACTCGACATCGTACTCAAGCTACTCTTTTGAGTGCTAACGAATCATAGTTATAGTTTTCCATGAATTTTTAGATTTTTATTTTTTATAATTTTTTTTTTTTAATCTATGTAGTTTAATTTTTAACTTTCTACTATTTGCTTCTGCTTTGATTTTATTGTTTTAAATCATAGAATGATGTTTAGTATTTATTTAAAAATACTATATTTTCAACGATATATCAAACATTGAGCACGAGTCATGAATACAAAAAAAAAAAAATAAATAGAAAGAAATTACGATTTGGCTATTTTTGAGGATTTGCAAAGGACGAAAATGTGTATGAACCAACTTCTCTCAAAGTAAGCTTTCAAACTAGGCGGGCGTCATTGCAAACTTTTTTCGCGACCCATTCTAATGTGCATATGTCTCTACATGTACTAAAGTACATTTGAATTCAATAACGTACGAGTACTACGTACATACGTAAGTGTATGTGTACATATTTATACACATGCACATATGTATGTATATCACAAATAAAAAATATTTATTATATTCAGTTCGAAATTAGCACACTCGTATAAATTAATTAATTTTATAAGTTTTTTTTACTCGCATTTTTCCGCTTTTCTACATATCTGACTAAATATGTGTGTATGCATTTGCTTTTGCTTATTTGTTTGCTTCCTTTGCCCCTTATTGGCATAAGTGCAGTGCCGGACAAAAGTATTGGCACAGAGAATTTTTCGAAATATATGCAAAGTTTTTTATTCTAATTTATTTTCGATAACTTTTATAAAAATACAGTTCGTACTTTACCAAAAAACATAAAAGCAAAATCTCTAAAAATTGTGCAAAACTCCGGAAAATGCAATAAATTTGCATACTAATTTGCAACTTTCTATTCAAAAAGTACGCAGTCTTTAGCCCATTCAATTTTAGCATAACAAAGTGCAAGTTTGAAAGTGCCAGAAATTCGCGTTGATTTTTTGCAATTTTTTTTCACTGAGGTTCTTCCATACAAAGTATGTTCGACAATTATTTTTTATATGGAGAAAATGATCAATACCTTCCATTAAAAAAATGGCCAAAAATCTACGGGATTTTTTAGATACTTCAACCTTGCACTTGGTTATACTAAAATTGAATGGGCTATAAAACTGCATACATACCAAGAATTGTTCTAAAAAATCTGAATAGAAAGTTGCAAATTTATTGAATTTTCCTGAGTTTTGCACAAGAGACCTTGTTTTTTTGTTTTTTTGTTGAAGCACGACCTATATTTTCATTAAAAGGTATTGAAAATAAACTGGAATAAAACACTTTTCATATATTGCGAAAAATTCTCTGTGCCAATAATTTTGTCCGGCACTGTATGTATATGGGCCCTTGTGTGAGACTATCATTTCCAATTCAATCTATTCATGTACACATACATACATTCTCACACGTATGCTGACGTGCTCATTTAAATTTATTCAAAAAATAATAATTAAAAATCATAATTACACCGATAACTTATTTCAATAAAATCAATTACGGGTACAACATTGCCATACTGTCGCACTTTTTATTAGTTTAGTTATATTTAATTAGTAGCATAGCAGTCCATTTTGTTTAAATGCATTTGTTGTCGTTTACATGTTAGTTGTGTTTTGTTTGTAGTCAGTTTATGTGCTTTGTATTTCTCCCAGTGTATTTTTGCGTAAAATGCAGTAATTTATATGTGTGGTTGGGGCATTCACTAGCTCGGCAGTGCTTAAATGCTTATTTTGCTTATGTGTATGTAAGTAACTTCTAATAAACATTAAACATGTATGGTATATTCCTGGCGCTCCTGCTCCTTCTTTTCCTGATACCTGCAATTGAATATGGGCGTAGAATGCATACATATACAGTGTATATTCAATTAGGGAATTCACAAGACTTTAAATCGTAAAATTTTTCAATGTAAAATAATGGTTAATAAGTTTTTAAATGATTTGAAACTACACGAAAATGTTTTAAAACTAATAGAAAAAATGTCATTAGTTTTTGTTTTAGCCTACGAATCCCCTAAATGCATTTTAACAGCAATTTCACATTGAAAATATTACAACATTAGGGCGGTTGCGACGACTTGTGAATCACGTTAATGGATTTTTTTTTACAAAAATATTGCAGAAAAATCAATGATGAATTTTTTCGAAATACATTTGTAAGTACATATCATCACCAGACCGCGAAAAAAGAAGTATAAAAAACTTCTGCGAAGATAGACTCTTAACATAGTTGACGTCGGAGAAAGACGCCTAAATCCTAGCTCGTCTTTATTCGTGTCTAGTGGTGATAATATTTTTAATAGGTATATACAGTGGAATAGATATCGCAGCGGAGTAGGCCAGTGCCTCTACCCAGGTTAGGGTGCCTCACAGAAAGTCATCTTCAAACCCTTACGCTGCATCGTTGTCATCAACGACTTGCTGGGGGAGATGGAAAGTTAAGGCTGTCTATTGCCTTTGTTAACGACGGCACATAATGGTCAAAGTAAATTTTCCCAGTTTCCCTCGATGTATGGAGCTTACCTTGTACTCTCTTACAGAGTTAATGATAAATTCTAGATGGATAGATTCTTTGTATCTCAAAAACGGTTCAATGAGTCAATCAAGTCAATTCAAAACTTGATGCAAATATTCATGGTGTTATTAAGAAAATTGTTGGAAAAATTTGAAGTCGGTTAATAACCAATGCCCACTTCCCATATTACAGTGTTTTTCAAAAAAAAAAAATTACTTATGTAGTATGTTCCGCCTTTGCAAAGGATTAGGTAGGCGGCTCTTGGAAGCGATATGTTTAGAGACGAACAACCGAGCCCTTTATCAGCAACCAATCCGATTCGGTTAATTCCTAAATCGTTCATTAAAGAAAGAAATATGAAAGTAGCACAATTGGAAGGGTTCATAGTGTCAGAATTCACATCTAACGGAGAATAGCTCTTGCCAAAAATTTCTACTTTGGACTGAATAGAAAACTGAGAATTAAGGTCCCCTTCATCGCACAAACATTGGTAAACATGGAAACTTAAATCACCAATAAAAATCAGATTTCTCAAATCAGATTTCTCAAATACTTATTATTTACCTTGCCAGCAGTGAGGACAATTCCTCTCGATCCATCTTGGCCAATTCTCCGTCGGTGTTTTCCATAACACGTTGCACTTCCAAGTCCAGTGCACGTTGCTCGCGATCGCATTCAGCTTCGCTGAATTCGCGCAAATCAGTAAAACCCGACGGTGGACGAAAACCCAGATCGCCAGCAGCCACAGCGGCTACCATCGCCGCCAAAGAGGCGCCCGTATCCGAGTTAACCTCACTGTCTAAACTGTGTTAAGCGTTGCGGCAAAAAAGGTAGAAAATGAAGAAAATAATCGAAATGAATATTAAAAGCACAGTAAATATAGACAATTAACAAGATTTATACATAACTATGTATAACAAAATCGATATATTTATGCTCAAAATACAGAAATTCTTTATTTCTCAGGCCGAAAGTACGTTCGAAAAGTATATAGACAGTTTAAATTTTGAATTTTCCTTCACTCCTCTAACACCAACTAATTCAATATTTGCCATCATTCACACTCCCAAAAATATTTGAATGCCCTTATTTCAATTAATCCAAATTAGTTTTGCTTTGGTGGAGTTTGGGGTTTAGGTACCTGAACTACCTGTTGTTACTTCCAGGGCATATTCTCCGATCGAGCGTCTGATGTTCCTTTGCTTGTAGTTGTTGCTGCTGCTGCTGCTGTTGTTGTTGTTGTAACTGCAATTGTTGCTGCTGCTTTCGGCTACGATGTCCTCGCTTATCCGCGCCGATGTTGACACCACCGCCGCCACCAGGCACACCAGCCAGTAATCGCGGCCCGCTTATGCGTCGCTCCACCGGTGAGCCCAGCTCATTGTTGGACTCTGTGCTCGAGTCAGGTCGAAACATATCTGCAAAAGGGTATAAATAGCGAGCGACAGGCTTACTAGCAAGCGCGCCCCACCCATACGCACCTGCAGCTGGGCGCCCATCGCTGCTGCGCGTCGACTTACAAGGAACTCTATAAGTTGGCATGTTGGAGAATTCTGTGCTGGGACTTATGCTCGTGTCCGATTCGGATTCACAATGTGCCCCCGGCACCACAGCACCGCCAGTCCCGCCTACAACTCCGCTACCGCTACCGCCACCACCACCACTACTGCTGCTGGTACTCTTGCTGCCGCGGCTGCCATCGTTGCGGGTGCTCTTCTTGGAATGACCCGATTGAGATCCAGCGACCATTGTCATAGATTTGCTGAGCGTGGATTCGTCTGATGGAGGTGTATGTTTGTATATAAATACCAAAAAGGAGGGTAAAAAAAGATAAAAGGAAAAAATAATAATGCGTTCAGAATAGCAAATCCCTACCATCCGTGTTATAGTAGCGCTGTTTGTGCCAGCTGGATTTCGATTTAACATGTCCAAATCCAGAGCTTGCCGGCAGTAGAGGATAAGCCGTTGCATTGAGATTGTCACCCTCCGGATGTCCGAATGTCTTGAATTGCATTGTATAGTCCATGGGTGAGGCGGAGACACCGCCATGCGAAGGCGTCTTCGAAGATGAACCGGCACCAGCGCCAGTGCGTCCACCATTCACACTAAATGTGGCATACGGTGAAATCTCATACATTTCTAAGGTGCGAATCACGAGAAATAGGAGCAAAAGGAAGAGAAATAAAAGAACCAAAAACGCCATCAGTAATAGAGAAAGTTATTTAATTACTCCGGTTAGTCGACAGCTCAAGATTTGCTTCGTTTTTTTCCCCCCGCGCACACTGAACGTTGGACGTCATGACCCAAAATATGTTTTCTGGCATTTCTGCCAATTCACTTGTAACAGCATCAGCAGCAGCAGCAGTATATACCAACTCACCTGATTCGTTTCCTTTGTCCACCGTTTTTACTGGCGAGGCGCTGTACACCTGCTGATTGCGTCGATTTTCGTGGTCCTCTTTGTAATCGCCAGGCAGTGTACGCGACTCATAGCCCTCGGCTATGGGACCACACAGTGTGCGACGGTGCTTAATTGTTAAAGCGCTGTCACGGCCACCCAAGGTAACGCGGGTTAGCGTGGGATGCGAGCATAGAAATAGTCAAGAAAGAAATAAAAGGAAATAAGCAATGCATAAATGAAATTTGGTTGTCTCGAGTGCAATAAAGTGAAAATGAAAAACGTGATTTGGCTGTTGGGCCAATTAAAATGTTTTGCTCACTGTCGGCTTAGAAAAACTTCTACTTGGGAGTCCATTAACACGCAATCTGCGCTGATTGCAAATGTAGCAGGTGGGGAGCAACATAGAATTGGTTAGACAACGGTGGTTAATTCAATTTGTTATTGGCGCTTATTTTTTGCATAAAATATATTTGGTGAAATTTGGCATTATTCATAAAAAATAAAATAGGTTAAAATGACGTTTGCATACATTTTCCAGTTTATAAAATTTTTGTTAAAGCTACTTTATATTTTATGAATAAGGCCATTCGTATTTTACTGAATAGCATACTTAGCATCAAAAATATGTATCTTTTTCATTTAAAAAAATTTTCAGAAAAATCATTGATTGTAATACTTTATGACGGAATACAAAAAAAGGAGTTCACCTAGGCCATTCTACGGAAGTGAAACTTCTTACGATTCGTTTTTAGTTCCAATGTATCAATCATAATAAATGTATATTTGTCTTCGTATTCGTGTTCTTAAGTGGGCTAAAAAAAAATCGGCGGACCATGCAGGTATATCGGGAAGCTCATGACTAATACTTATGAAAACCACTGGCGCAATACCGAAAACATGTAACCAACCAAGTGTTCCCTGAAAAGGCCAGACGGGGTGAGTGAAATTTCCTCCAATTTCCCAAACTGATTACGGGATACAATCCATAGAGTCACGACAAGTACCATTGACTATCTACTGTATTCAATTTTATTGAGGAAAGGCAGAGCACTTTCCCTTTCCTTGGAGCTGCCCGACTTTAGCCAGACTGAAATAATTCATTTTTGGGCGGACGTATTGAGAATGTACCACATACACGCTTCTTTCCTCGACAAACCCCTTATATTAGTAAAAGATTACAAAGGAATAATGATTTCCAACACCCACTTGCCTTTCTCAATCTTAATATGTAATCCTTCCCCTAGGTTTTAAATATAATGGACCACTGTGCA